CTGTTTTGGTATTTACACGTAAAAATGGTAAATTTTCGAATAAGACGCGGAATCAACTGAATCTTTGTACATAGTTTGTAGTTGATGATGAATGTTTTTCATCTTAGGTGAGCCAAAAGTGTTTTCCTTCTTTTGAATCGGTAAGTAGAAAAAGAAAAAACGTGCAAGTTTTATACAAATTTATTTTATTGAATTTTCATCTACCATAAATTATTTGCAAAAAATTACTTTGAAAATAGGAAAAATATTACTATTTATTTGATGAAAAATCTCAATTATCAATCAAATATATTTACACCTATTTCTTTACAATTTCAAGAAATTTCAGTGTTTTCATAAAAACTTTCTTAATTTAATTTCTTAATAAATGAATTTGAGGAAATGAGTCAGAAATGTTCGTGAAATGAGAATTTCTATAATAGTAAAAACGAAAATTTGTAAATCAGGAATTGTCTACAATTATAATCAAATTACTTTTTCTTTAAGAAAAAAATGATTCAAAAAACAATTGAAAATCAAGTCAAAAGAAAAAACACAAAATTACACCAATTTTAAAAACAATTGAAAAAATCACAAACTAAAATCTTGCGCACTTTTTTTTTCTAAACACCGATTCATCAGTATTTAACTATATTATACAAAGTCTTCTACATTGTTATTATCAACCAACAAATTTTGTGTACTTTTATTACTTCTGTTTTCTCGAAACGAATCAAATTGAAGGAAGGAGCGTTAAGAAAACCCCTTTTTCTGATTAATTAGCGTCGTCTAATTAAACTCGAAAGGTGTAAAAGTGTTCTAAAACAAGAAAATCAAAAAATAAAAAGATGTAATTAATTGGCAAAAATGAGACGAGAGAGAAAAAAAATCAAAAAAAAAATTAATTTTCGATTCGATTAACTTTTCAATTACGTTCAGTGTTTCGGTTCAAAGGACTCACTGATTTCTCCTTAAATTCGTGAAAGACGATCCAGTTTTTCTATCAAAAAAAAATAATAAAAAAAATTACCACCCCTCAAATAAAATGGGCAAAACCAGTTTTGGTGTTTCGGAATTTTAGACGAATTTTAGAAATCTAAATCTAATCGATGAGTGTTTTTAAGAGAAATATACTTCTGTACAAAGGATTATATATATATAAGTATGTAAAAGAAATGTAGATACTCTAGGTATAAAACTTTGTATATAAACGTTAGAATTGTTGAGTTTTGTTTTTGTTTTTTTTCGATGATAAAAAGATGGAAAAGTTTATTATTGGATTAGTGTGAAACGTATTCGAATTAAACATTTTTTTGAAATTTAAACAAAAATATCGATATTAACAAAAAAAAATCTATAAATTTTTAACAATATTTTAAGTTTTCTCGAGAAAATAATGGTTTGATAGTCAATTTGAAGAAAAAATTGCAAAAAATTAACAATATTTTAGTTCTCTACAAAAATATATAAAAATAAGCAAATAACATAAGTTTTTATTGACACTTTATATATTAGAAAAATATCCTTTTTTTTTGTATAAATTAACATTAAACTTTATAAGTTTTAAAAGCACTTGTTTCAAAAATCTACACAAATTTATTGTTAAAAAAATAATAATTTAGATAAATTTGTTTTTATAAAAAGTTTTCTTATTGAAGAAAAAAAAACACATTTTGAAGATTCAATAAGATTTCACTAAAGGGTGTTCCAAAATTAACGCAAGATTTGTATTTGCCGCCATTTGTGCAGTAAAGTGTTGGCAATCCCAAAAAAACAACAATTTGACAGCTGAGAGGTTAGAATTAGTAAAAATCTTGCGACAATTTTGGGACACTCTTTATAATCAATTTTTCATGTAAAAATAAAAATTTTCATTGCAAAATTATTATTTTTCTCATTTTATAACTGAATAACTGTTGTTAATTGTTAAAAATTAATTGAATTATGTTAATTTCTTCTAGTTTAACTTTTTGTGTTAAAAAAATAATCATAGTAGAACTTTTTTTTTGTGAACATCAAAAAAAAAGTTGTCTAATTCGAATGAGCTACAAATCCAATACAAAGTTGTATGAAATTTTTGGAGAGTTTAGTAAAAAAAACAAAGAGGGTTGTGATCTGCATCATATTTCCTTGCATTTCCTTTTTACACATACAAACAAATAAATTAAATAAACATAATATATATATAAATTAACATACATTTTAAATCGTAATCAAATATTGAATATAATAAAATTTAAGAAATATATATAGAGTGTGTGATATAATCAAGTAAGTTTAGGACGTTATTATTACATTTTGTTTTTCGCTACAAACTAGATTAGAAATCGTTTAATTTTCGTGCAGTTTTGCCTACAAATAAACAACAACAAACAACATCAAAAGTTGGGGTGGAAATTTTTACCAAAAAAAAAAAAACAAAACAAAAGAGAAAAAAAAAAGGAAGAGAAAAAGGATCGTCTTTTTTTAATTGTTGTTAATTGATTGAATTTAACTAATTGATTTTTTTATATCTAAAAAATAATCTAAAATTAATTAAATAAAAAAATAATTCTTATTGAGTATGAATATATAATATGGAGCAATGACTACCACTGTGATAATATAACGCTTTTATTCTGGATTTTACCATGTAAGTAAGTAATTTTATCTATTATATATAAATATTATATAAATATATATAAAGAACTTAAGTAAATAAATTTGAGGAACTAAAAAAAAAGGTATATTGATATTGTATAAGCATATTATATATGGTTTATATGATACTATGACAACAAAACAAAATATTGAGTGTTTTGTTTTAATAAACAAAAAAAAACTAATTGATGGAAACTAAAGGTCCTTGATGTTTAGCAAATCTACTCTCCTCTATCTCTCTTTATATATTATAAGAATGGAATTATTTCATTCGAAACTGTGTACATATATAAATAAATCTAACTAATTGTAATTAAATTATATATATATTAATATGAAATGATAATGATACAAAAAATTATGTAAACTACAGTTATTCGATGTTTCGGACGAGAATTTTAGATAGAAATAAAGGGAAAAACAATCCTGTTTAGAGGGTAATTTTAATGATGTATAAAGTAACTGATGGACAGAGAAAAATATGAACTTTAAGAGGTTTTTTTTAAATTGAATAAAGTTAAGAAATAAAACCGCTGGAGGCCCGAGTTCTCTCAATATTTGCGTGTGATTGTGTCTATATTTGTGTATGCTACAGTGATTGAATCAAAATTTGTTAATTTGTTAATTAAACTTTGATTGATTTTCGTTATAATGATTTATTTGAAAAAATTACATTTGTTGAAATAAACTGGTAAATTTATACAAAAAATGATTAATTACTAATTGATTTATTTATAAAAGTCTATATTTGTTATACAAAATTGGTAAATGTACATATTTACAAGTAAATATATGTTTTTAACATTCCGTTAAATCATTTTTACTTTACTTACTTATACTTAATTTATTAGAAAATGTTTAATTGTTAATTCATTTACTGGGTTTATGTGCACATTTATCAATAAGAATTGCATATATTTTCATTACTGCATTTTCTGTTACTGCACTTTTCTGCACTTTTGTTAATGAAATTGTTAAATCATTGAATTAATTACTTAAAAAATGTGTTTATTTGTATTGTATTAAACATAAAATATGTTGCAAAAAAAAAACTGAATTTAATTATATATAATTATACACATTTACTAATCAATTTTTAAAATTGACACAAAATAATTCAATTTATTTGAAAATATAAAGAATTAAAAATTTGCAATATAAGAACTATCGTTTTTGCACATTTACCAGTAAATGTAAAGATTTTACCAATTCCGGTAAATTTACTACAATTACTAAAAATTAATAGGAACATTTTTCCGAGAATTATTTTTAATTAATTGTAAGTTCTTACAGATTCAGTTTTTGTACATTTACCAGTAAACGTAAAGCTTTTACCAATGTGTTACTAAAATGTACTACAATTTAATTAATTTGAACATTTTTTCAAGAATTAATTTAAAAAAATATTTGTTAGTTCTTAATGAATCAGTTTTTGCACATTTTTACTGGTAAATGTAAAGATTTTACCAATTTTATTAAACTTAGTTAATTTGATCATTTTTCAATTAATTCTAATTAATACTTGTTAATTCTTAATGAATCAAGATTTTCTAATTTATACAATTATTGTATTCGCACATTTACCAGTAGATGTAAACATTTTTTTAAACAAAATTTTGATACATTCACAGTAACTTACATAAAAGCAACTCAATTATTTTCACGTAGAAATTTCCAATTGATTCGTGTGTTTTTTTCATTACAATTTTTTTTTAATTTCGTTCGAGGTTTGAGGGGTCTCCAGTGGATGTCTTCCAATGAGCCCGTGGGCACCCGCAGCTTTTCCAAATCGGATTTTCCCCGAGACTACAATTTTTGCAACGAAAACTATTGGTGCTATTCGACTGTTTTTTCGTCGTGTGTGTGTCCCCCCCCCGCGACGATCGTCCCTCCATCTATCGACTCATA